GTGTGTGTGTGTGTGTGTGTGTGTGTGTGTGTGTGTGTGTGTGATGTATGGATTGTGTTTACTGTAAAAGAGAAATGGCAAATCTTTATAATGCGTACTATTCGTTACTACTCACACGAACGATATTCGCGAGATATATTTTGCTGCTGTTATTGCCCAAGGATCAGCTGAAGTCGAAAGCGTTGTTGACATTTGGCCACGATACTTGTCGTGGATGGAGAGATCATACTAGTGAACGCTAGAGTGGGCCGCATATCCGTAATTGTTTTCGTAGTCTTATGTATCGTAGCCATATGTTAAGCTACGATATATTCTGTTACTTTCTACTCTTAGTATCTTCGAAACAAGTCAACAAGAATAACGTTACCATAGGACTGTTTCCTTTACCTTGCGAGGTGTTTGAGTTTGATCCCAAGATAAAACTTTCGAGTCCAGTCAGGGTGAGTTATTTTCTGCAGGCATAGACTGATTTATGATTATTGAATTCTTCGTAAATAATGTTTAAATGAATATATATATTTTTCAATTTTTTATATTAACATTCAGATTATATTTTCATTGGATCCACAGTTAGCTAATCCACAATAGGCTAATCCACAACATAAAATCATATATAAATTTGGTCAGATGGCGCTTCTTACATTCTATGATATTTACAACTTGGACGCACATTTCGTCGCACACCTATGCAGTGTGAGTTGTTTACTCGAACAAAAACTAATCCTTCTTACAAATTTTTATGTATTTGCTTGAATTCGCATTCATCATTTTCAATGTGTTTATATATTGCTTTAACGATGATCTGCTCGCAGAGATCTGCTTGAGGATAGGATTGCTATGAAATCGAGTGGTATCGAATGTCTCTCAGGAAAACGATTGAGATGACTATGTCAAACACGATATGTCATCACCCCGCCTCCCTCAGTGACAGAGAATAACAACGATGAGCATATTCTCTAACGTAAGTAACACATTTGCTTTAATCAAAATAAAACTAAAATTGTTTAACATATTGCAACGAAACAATCTCCAAATTAATATAGACCGTGTTGATCATGTATTTGAAATATTTTCTATGTAAACTAGTTAACATTTAGCGTATCAAACTTGTTATATCATCTAAAATAATAAGTTAATAATCATACGATTATGTTGTAAGTTGTAAAAGTACCTGTGATATATTTTAATTTGCAAAATGTTACTAACTAAACCTACACGGCTTGACGAAATACGACACAATGACATATTGTCGTATTTTGTGTAATCACAAAATAGGTACATATGAACAATGATGCTACATCCGTGAACTTCTACGATTGCGTGGTACAAAATATTTTTATTGCGAAAGCAAGTATTTCTATCCACTAACATGCACTCTCTTTTCCAACGAATTACGAATATGTTGTAACTTTATTCCTTCCTGTATCAAAAGTTATGATTGCTACCACCAGAGGTTGACAGCAACTAATAGTTTTGATTGAATAATGCAGAATATACTGATTCGACCTCCGATGACTATAATTATAACTTCGGATACAGGAAGAAATAAAGTTACAGCTTAACTTTAGTCCATTGAAAAAGGGGAGACAATTCTGACGAACAAAAATACTTACTTTCGCAAACTGTCCCGGTTGCCCGCGAGCAAGTTGGCTTTCAAAGTTTGCTACCAACGTTTTTTAAAGCTTTACTGCCTCTCACGCACGCAACATCTAAATATTAAAATCGCGCAAGCGCAAGCGAACAGCGGATTTGTTTGATTTGTATCTCCCTTTGCAACCGTCAGTTGTAATCGAGCTCGCATCTGAACTCCATCGTGCTCATAATAATTTGTACGGTTTGCATCCGAAAGTAATTCGCTGTAAAAGAAATTGAGACAATTTTTCTCGTAAATTTAAAAAATATGCCGAATAACGAACATTATCAAGATGATATTATGTATATCACTAAAATAACGCGTAATGTTTTGAACACACTCGGAGTTTGGCCGTCCTTAGACGAAAGAAAATCAATCGGCGGTCGAATCTGCAAGCTTCTAATAATCATAATATCTTGGCTACTTCTGTACTGCGTCTTGATTCCTGGTTTTCTTTTCTGGTTGTTTGAGAAGAGAACACGCATCAGGATTCAAATGTTATCTCTACTCCTTTTCGGTTTTATGATCATCGGTAAATACGATAATTTGATACTTCGCGAGGGGCAGATCAAACGTTGTCTAAAGCACATCGAGGAGGATTGGAAGAATGTGATGGATACCGACACGCGAAACACGATGATCGAATCCGCGAAAATTGGAAGACGCCTAGCCATACTTTGCGGAATCTTTATGTACGGCAGTGGGCTCTCTTACCGGACGATTTTATCGTTGTCCAAAGGAACGATCGTGACTGCGCAAAACGTCACGATCAAGCCCTTAGCTTGTCCGGGTTACTTCTTCTCTCTCAATGCGCAAGCCAGCCCTACTTATGAGATGATTTTTGTGATACAATTTTTTTCTGGTTTAGTCACTTTCGCGAT